TCCTTCACACAGCTAGTGACCTGGCCTGGAGTTGGAGTTGACACCAGTGGTGCTGGACTTCTGGAGGGCTTTTAAAAGGGTGATTCTAACAGCAGGGATTTGTGCCTTCCCACTGACCTTAGAATCTGAAGCTCTCCAATGCCATCTTGTAGCCCTGCCCCCACCCCTACCCTTGTCCCTGCAGTGGGGCCGAGAGCCCCCAGTCCTTTTGGCAGCAGTCAGGTCCCTGTTTGGCAGTTGGTGGACCTGCTTGTGGCTTTTGGATCTTGGCTGATACAAAGGTCATCACTGAAGCCACCACTCAGGTTTCTAAAACACAAAAAAGATCATGTCACCCTTGCTTGTAACCTTCGAAGCCTCTTAACTATCTGAATTTAGTTCAGAATAGTTTAGAATAGTGTTTAGAATCGAAACACTTTGGTATTAAATATTGTGCTCCACACCTGGCCTCATTTTCTCTGTGTTCTCTTGCTTTCCCCCCATATTCCAGCTACTGAAACAGTTCCCAGATGCTATAGTTTGGAATGTGGCATGTTCCCCCAAAGGCTTGTGGGTTAAAACTTTGGTCTCCAGCCTGTGGCACTATCGGGAGATGATAGAACCTTTTAGAGGTGGGGCCTAATGAAGGTCATAGGTCACTGGGGGTGTGCCTTCAAAGGGGATTATGGGACTGTAGTCTCTTCTTGTCTCTTTTGCTTCTGGGCATGAAGGCTTCCCTTCTACCACACCCTCCCACCACGATGTGTTGCCTCACCTCAGGCCCCAAAGCATCAAAACTGTGAATCAAAATAAACCTTTCCTCTTCTTAATTATGTCAGGTATTTTGTTACAGTAACAGAAGGGTGACTAACACACCCAGCTACCATTTCTCAGGAGCCACCTTTTCTTTCAGCACACCTTTGACTGCCTGTCTGCCCTGCATAGTAACTTCTTCCTTAGCACCATCTCTTTTGGGATATTTAACACACTGTCTTCTTATTTGGTTTTGTCATGCTTGAGAACATGTCTTAGCATTCCTAGCTCTAGAATGGTTGCTGGCAGGGTGGGGGCCTGAGGATGTCAGGCTGAAGGAATAAACCTGATGAGGCCAGCCCTGTCACTGTAGCAGCTGTGGGTTAGTAGGGAGCATAGAATAGGTAGCCAAGTGACTGGCACAGGATGGTGGTGGCAAGAGTTTGCGGCAAACCCGTTAAAGTCTACACAGTCAAGTTTGGTTATGATCACAAACTTAGACTCGAGCATAAAAACAGAAAACCAGAAAGAGAAAGACCATCTTTTCTCTTAGAATGTAGATTTGGTAAATGCTTCAGTAACAGTTTGATCTGATTTACTCTCCAGGACAGATTTATTTTCCAACAATGGCTGCAAAAATATTTCCACTCCCACAAGCTCTTCCAGAACCCTGCTACTCCCCCATCAAGAGATGGAGTCTAGCTGGGTGTGGTGGGGCATACCTGCAATTCCAGCTACTTCGAAGGCAGAGACTGAGAGGATCACAGTTCCAGGTCAGCCCAGGCAAAAAGTTAGTAAAACCCCACCTTAACAAATAAGCCAGGCCTGTGGTCCCTGCTATAAGGCATAAGTAGTCCCAAGGCATAAGTAGGAGGATCAAAGTCTGGGGCCAGCCCTGGGCAAAAAGCACCAGACTCTACCTAAAAATAACTAAAGCGAAAAGAGCTGAAGCGTGGCTCAAGTGGTAAAGTACTGGGCTAGCAAGGACCTGAGTTCAAACCCTAGCACCAGGAACAAAAAAGATAGTAACGTAGCCTCTGGGCCCCTCAGACCTCGTCCTCCCGGTGGGGGCCCTGAGAAGAGGAGCTGGGTCCTGCCAGAGATGGAGCAACCCTGAGAATCCCAAGCATGTGACCTTCTGCCCTGGCCTGTGAGGCCCTGTGTTCTCTGGGGGTCATGCTCTGCAGAGGTATGCTCTCAACATGGCCTGAACCAAAAAAACAAGAACAGGCCTCAAAGGTCAGCCCCATCCTGGCTGTTAGTTGCATAGCAGACTTTTATCTTGGAACTGGCAGAAGTCTTGATGCCTAGATCTGCTCTGCCTTTGCAGCTGAAGGACAAGGACAGCTCAGATCTGCACAAAAAAACACCTTGGGCTTCATGAGGCCGGATAAACAGCAGGGTGAAAGCTGGTCCTTCCCTGGAAAGATGCTCCTTCCTCAGGGCCTTTGGCCACCCGTCTCGGTCCTTACCATTTTAATTAACCCAGGGAATCAGCCTCTACCTTTCAAAGGGATCCGAGGGAAACCTTTGTGCCAAGTCCCAACAGAGTCCCTGTGACACTCAAGAACGTGGGCCGGGCTCTTGTGTAGGTTAAGGAAGTCTGAGAATAATAAAGATTATAGGGAAACAGTCTACCTTTCTTTACAAGGCCTCGTTCTGCATCCCTGAAACCTCAGATTCTGCCCTTACAATGAAGTTCTGTTGTAGAAAGAGCTGGCTTTTTATCACCACTTAAAATCTAATTAATCCATATTGAAGCACAAAGATTTCTGTTGTACTTTAGGGTGAGGGGTCATAGAGCCTTCTTTGTTCATCCTTAGACTTAGAATCATCAAGCATTGGGGATATAATTTTACCAAGCAAATTGGAAGGTAAGAGATCAAGTCCTTATCAGAGAGCCTAACTCATAGTTTTAACAGAGTCCTTCATCCTTTATATGAAACATTATATGCAAGAGGAACAAAAACGCATTTCAGAGTACCCAAAGAGTTAATGACCAAAGCTTATATTCCAGGCGGCATAGAACCAAGTTCATCACACTACTGTCAACCACACAGGACTGCAGATCCTATAGGGTGGCAGTCGGATGGTTTATGGCAATGGCTTTAGTCTTCAAAACAGCAATGCAATCTGTGGGGCTCTCGTTATCTTTGCTGGGATGGGTTTTATCCATCATTACAACTTACCTGCCACATTGGAAGAACCTGAACCTGGACTTAAACGAGATGGAAAACTGGACCATGGGGCTCTGGAGAACCTGCGTCATCCAGGAGGAAGTGGGCAAGCAGTGCAAGGACTTTGATTCCTTCCTGGCTTTGCCGGCTGAACTCAGGATCGCCCGGGTTTTAATGTTCCTGGCAAATGGGCTGGGGCTTCTGGGCCTGCTAGTCTCAGGGTTTGGCCTGGACTGTTTGAGAATTGGACAGAGACAGCAGGATCTCAAGAAGCGACTGCTCATCCTGGGGGGCGTTCTGCTGTGGACCTCAGGACTCACGGCCCTTGTTCCAGTCTCTTGGGTGGCCCACATGACGGTTCAGGAGTTCTGGGACGAGACCATCCCAGACATTGTCCCCAGGTGGGAGTTTGGGGAAGCCCTCTTCATTGGCTGGTTTGCTGGATTTTCTCTTGTGCTAGGAGGATGCCTGCTTCACTGTGCAGCCTGCTCAGCCCCAGCTCCTCGAGCCTCGGGCCACTATGCAGAGGCAGAAATGCAAACTCAGTGTCCACATGTGGAAAATGAAACTGCGGACCCTAAAGTGTAAGAGGCTGATGAGGCCTGATAGTCATATCCTACAGCTATGATGACAGAGGTCCTTGTAATAGAGCTTAATCTGTGCTGCTCATTTTTTTCACTCAGTAACTATTTTTTTGTATTAGACTCTTCCCTCCCCAATCTGAAGATAAAGGAAAATCTTGTATCTAAAAGAGAATGGTCATGGCAAGGATTACACAGATGCGAATGAAAAGGCGTCATTGATCTGGTTATTTAAATCAGCGTGTGGTGCGTTTTGGTAATATAGTCCATGTGGAGCTTTAATGTATTAGTTTTATATTGGGAAGCTGTGTTGTCACTGGTAGTTGCGAATAAGTTTGTTTTCTGAAGAAAACAATAATAATTTAAAATCTTTCAAGTGTTTTACATTAGTAAAACTACATGGTAAGCCAACTCTAATGAGTCATTTCCACAATGACTGGTCTTCTGTGAACAGAAGTGGTTTGTGTTTGGAAATTCCTGGGCACTCTTTAATTTTCATCAGGATTTTAAGGCTGAAGGTTTTCAGAACATTGTGGTTCTCTCAGATTTTAATTCATAGTCAATCTCCTCTTTTGTCTCTTTCCTCAAAAGCTTCATACTTTAAAGAGAAAAGTAATGCAAAAGAAATTTTTCTTGATATCTGGATATTGCCAGTTCATTTGCTGGAAAGAAAACTTTGTCCAGCTAAAAAGTACAAACATAAGGACGTACGCTTTAGCAGTAAGCAAACAGATGTCCTCATCACCAGTCCCAGGGCTTAACTCCTCCACAGCACAGAAAGCATATTTCAGCAAAGAAAAAAAGCAAACCAAACAAAAAGATGTTTATGCACATGTGAGTGAATTCCACACAAAGGAATGTAGATAAGTAGACTTGATATCTTGTTTGGTATTGTTTCACATGTTGTATGGCAGAAAAGTCAGAGACTTTTCTCAAAACAGGCCTGACTTAAAGGTCTAGAGAGATTTCTGATAAGATTGATTTATTTGGTTAAGAAATACTTCTCTTGAACCTATTTTTAAAAATGGTAACACCCACTATTATCATAACATACACATTGAAATGTGAGAACTGATGAAAATCTGACAGGTGCAATTAGGATGATGTAAAGCAGGAGGAGTTGAACCAAAACCCTCAATTAAACATTTTTGCACTTAGACTTAATTGACTTGTTAGAATCGTTGGGAACAACATGAAGGTAATTTATACTTTAACAATGAAAGGAGGATTAGTACTACTTAATTTTAATTCACCCACAAAATGCTTTCTACAAAATTCAGCCCATAGGACGCAAACATGATCTTGGCTACACCTTGGCATGACTGGTTTGCAGATTATTTCCCTTCCTTTTCTGCAACCTTTTCAACATGGAATCAAACAATAGCAACTCTGGCAAGAGTCCTCCTATATACACAATGAAAAAAAATATTTCTGAGCTCCACAAGTGATAACTTAAGTGTCACACTTCTTTTCACAGCAACTGAAGGGTAGGAGTCGAGTTGGCTAAAGCTCACAGGACTTTGTAATGGCTTTAGTCTTCAGAACAGCAATGCAATCTGTTGGACTTTTCTTATCTTTGCTGGGATGGGTCTTATCCTGCCTTACAAACTACCTGCCACATTGGAAGAACCTGAACCTGGACTTAAACGAGATGGAAAACTGGACCATGGGGCTCTGGAGAACCTGCGTCATCCAGGAGGAAGTGGGCAAGCAGTGCAAGGACTTTGATTCCTTCCTGGCTTTGCCGGCTGAACTCAGGATCGCCCGGGTTTTAATGTTCCTGGCAAATGGGCTGGGGCTTCTGGGCCTGCTAGTCTCAGGGTTTGGCCTGGACTGTTTGAGAATTGGACAGAGACAGCAGGATCTCAAGAAGCGACTGCTCATCCTGGGGGGCGTTCTGCTGTGGACCTCAGGACTCACGGCCCTTGTTCCAGTCTCTTGGGTGGCCCACATGACGGTTCAGGAGTTCTGGGACAAGACCATCCCAGACATTGTCCCCAGGTGGGAGTTTGGGGAAGCCCTCTTCATTGGCTGGTTTGCTGGATTTTCTCTTGTGCTAGGAGGATGCCTGCTTCACTGTGCAGCCTGCTCAGCCCCAGCTCCTCGAGCCTCGGGCCACTATGTAGTGGCAGGAATGCAAGATCACTGTCAACAACTGGAGATGAAACACGGCAACCTGGAACCCTAAGCCCAAGGGAGCAGAAGCACATACTCTTCAGGAAGTCCTGCTCAGTGCTGGATTTGGTAGGACCTCCTGCTACAGTCACCCCTTCACTATGATTTTGATTTTTTAGAATGCAATTTAGCTACTTAAAATATGATTTCTTTCTAAGACTGGTAAACCACTTTCATTTTCTACTTGGAGACTATAAAACCAATCAAGACCTACTAGGAATCACATTAATTACTGCCTGTGAGTTTTCTCTGTTTCAGAATAGGCTCAGTGATCACACAGAACTGGGAAATAAAACACTGTCTCAGTGCCTATCTATCTTTGAAGGTATTATTCATATGGAGATGAATCATTTTAGCAAATGTTAGTGCTGACCGGTTATTTCGTTCAGGTGTTTAAGATAACTTATTATAAGAAACTAGGGTCTCACTGGGTATTTATTTAAAATGCGTGACACCTGATTATACTAAAAAATTGCTGGCTCTTTGAAAGATTTAGAGGAGAGAGACATGGGACACATCTTTTCAACTGGAGGCTATAGTGGCTGAGTGGAGCTTTCACTCAGGCCAGAAGGGCAGTCTTGTATTCTGGACAGTTCAAGTAGCAGAGCAGCCACAGGGGGCATGACAGGTCTGGGCAGGTGCGTGTGGGCAAGGCCTCCTGGGACAGCCACCTCCTCGTGGAGCACACTGCCAGTGTAGGTGACACATCAGCACAGCACATACTCGGGAGCCCTTCACTTCCCTTGCACAATGGAATATTCTCTCTCTTTTCAGTAACATGTATAGTAGTTCAAACAAGAAGTATTTGCAACAAACTTTTGGCTTGGGGAATTCTCCATGGAACAGTTTATATATGCTTGGTACAGGGTTCAAATAAACTCTTGTGTTTGGGAAATTTAATGAATAATAAGCAACACCAAAATAAATATTGGGCAATATGTATCTTTGTTTAAAAGAAAACAATGACTTTTTCCATTCACAAACACATAGAAAGTGCAGAAACCAAAGTTAATCTATATGATGTATTTGCAAACTTTTACAAAAAAGACAAATTAAAACAGAAACATACACAGAATTTAACCTGATTAAATATTTAGTTCAGTCCTGAGCTTCTGATATTTAATACAATATAGATAAACCCATAGCAAAAATTTTTAAAAATTTATTTGATTTGTATGCTACAGAGATTTAGCTAATCTTTGTTCATTTGGCTAGTAATATTTTTTTGTACTTGTAATACTTAAGATTCTGATATACAAAATTGTAATAACATACTGATAATTCAAACTTGAGAACTAAATATTAAATTCTTTTACCCTGTGCAGCATAGATTCTACATTTTAAAAATAGTATTTATAATATTAAAATTCGTATTTGTCCATATGGTTTTGTGATGAAGTTAGTAAGAGGTTTTGTTACTGTGAATCATTGGGTTAGTACAAATATGACAGATTACTAAAAGCTGCCTATGAATACATAATACTATTGCTGATTTTAAAGTATGGGAAAAGGATTATTAAAATAAGTTTGCCTCTCATGTTAGAACTGAGCAAATTTTGTGGAATAAAACCAAAAGCCTCTTGGTCACAACTGTTAACTACCAGCCTGAGACAGATTTTATTCTTTAATACTTGTCTGAAACTTTTTGTATTGCAAAAAGTTAACAGTTAATCTGGTGAAGATTTATAAAGTTGTAAATATTCCAATATAGCCTTTTCTATGTCCAACATTTAAAATGGCCAGAACCAAACTATATATTAAACAGAACATAAATAAGATCGTAAATAAATAAATGAAGAAAATAAAATCGTACGGTACAACTACACAAAATTCTATAAACATTTTCATGGTCAAACTAAGAAGCTGAAAACAGCTGACCTTCATTTAACTCTACATTAAATAAACTTCTGTCGTTCACATTTGACATCGACAAGGATGAATGAATGGTGTTCTTTTTCTCGTTTTCCTTAGTCACCTAACAGAACAAACTGGGCAGCCCTGAATGATTGTACTCAGTCAATCACTAGGCTGGGTTTTGTTCAAAGTAGTGTTGCGTCCAGTTATATGTCTTCAAAAAAATTTGTATATAAATGGTAGAACATTTAGGAAAAAACAATTAAGATTTTAGGCTCAGAAACTGCTTAATTTGAACTTCAATTCTGATAAAGTGAACCTTCTAAAAATACACATAATTAGTTTCAAGAAAATAAAAATTGTTGCTAGTGAGGATTCTAACAGAGGAAGAGAACTTTAAGGGTTCATTCCTTTAAGATGATTTTGTGTTTCTAAAAAAAAAATTTAGTTAGCCATGTAAGATGGCTAACCAAAAATTGCTTCTTTCAGTAGATATGGCTGAAATGACCTAATGACTATGTGTTCTAAAATCCTTTATGTTGGCAAAGCTACACTGAAGACTTATTTTTGTTTTTTTTAAAGAAGTGCCTGGGTTTAGTCAGTTTATATGTCTAAACTTGTTCATCCAGAGGGTTGTTTTTTAAACAAATGGTTTAGCTTACACTCCAGATCAATGATTCCCAGGCATATTCTTTACTTTGCTCCGAACTACTTGCCATAATTTATAGAAAGAATCCTCTCAAAAATGAGAGCTGCAAAGTAATTCCTAGCAAATGTGAAAATCTGTTTGATAAGCCGTTTCCTTTATTTTTGGCAACTTTGATTCAATCAAGACACACCCTTCTTTTGTTCTTGGCTTCATGCCATGACTGGGAGTATGTCCCCTCTGTGCCACCAGCACTGTCTGTCCTCAGAGCCTATGGCCACCACATGCTTCTTCTTGGCACCGTCCTCACCCTACCACAAAACCCCGGTGCAAGCAGAAACTCACATTTGAACACTGGCGAATTCAGGTTGGGTGGAAGCAGCCACTGCTCACAATGAGTTTCTTTCATGTATTTTCGGTAACAGGTGCTCTCATTTCTCCTGCCATGCTCTCTGGTGTCATGAACTACAAGATCTTTACTGTGGTTAGGAGCACTGCTCTCCTTTTTTTCTAGCCTCAATATTTCATATTTTTTTGGTTTCTTTAGACAATTATAAAAGAACAAAAAAGGAAACTGTTTGAGGAAGCAGTGTTCTGACACAGGTAAAGGAAAGGAATAGGGCACCTGCACCAGGTAGACTGGAGTTCTGCTGTCTAGTTCAGAACATTACACAGTGCTGCTGCTCTTCATCAGTGTACCACACAGTGAGGGAAAAGCCAAACCACCTCCCAGGTGAGCTGCTCCTGTGCCAGCTCCATGGACAGACACTGGGCTCTGCCTCCGTTCCACATCTACACAGAAAGCCCACTAGTGACACACTGTTCAGTTGCACCAGGCTATCCCATTCTTGCTATCTGACTTTTTTCTTTCTTAAACATACAAGAGTTACATTCAAAGCACTTTACAAATGAATGTGTTGAAAATCTGGTGAAATAAAAGTTCTTCAAGAGTTGACAGTTATGTTACAAAACAAACAAACAAACAAACAAAACAGAGTAAATGTTCAGTTTTTTGCTCTTCCTTAGGAAAGTGAGAAGCAATGTGCCAAGCCACAGGTCACACATCATCAGCTGGAAGGGACGGGATGCTGATCTTGGCTCGTGTGAAGTAGGCGATCTTCTCCCTAGAGGCAGGGAGGGGGAAACCACTTCAATGTGATGCCGAAAATCCTGCGGCCCTGCCAGACCCGAGAGCTCTAGGGTGCTCCACAAACTGGGGCGGGAAATCTGTTCCTCTGGCAGAGGCAACTCCATGTAAAACCAAGAGCCTTTGTCTTTTAAAGCCGGATAGGCTGTGAAAGACACCTGCAGACCATACCAGTAAGTTCTGGGAGTCCCACTGGAAGACCACATGCAATCCCTCAGGGCTCAGGGCTCAGTACTGGTCTTTCTAAATCAGGTAGGAGAGGAACGACAAGCGCCCAAATCCTGCACGGTGGAAGTTTCCTGTTTTCCCCACAGAAAAACCCATAATACCAGGGGAATTCTTCACAACCAACCCCACAGTAAGGCAAAGACAAGCTGGTGAGTGACAGTATCACTCAAGTGCAGGGAGGAGACCATTGACTACCAAAGGGAAAAGCCCTGCATCCCAAAGCAGGGATAAGGAGAAGCAGCACAAAAGGGAGAAGCTGAGAGGGATGGAGCAGGGGGCAGAATGGTTTTCACCTTGAGAGTGCTAGAAAAATAGTAAGATTTTAGGATTGTAGTTACCAAAAACAAGAGCAGTCTGTCCATCCTTTCACAAAAATCTCACATTGAACACTGCGTTCCAACAACACGTATTCACGAGGGTACATCCCATGTGAGGGCTGGGCAGGAAGTTGTAAACAAGGACAGAGTACTGTCGTCCTGCCCCGCCCCACCCCACTACCAAGAAACAGGAAGTATGAGGCCAGAGACAAGAATGAGGATGACATTCTAAAGACTAAGGAAAGGCAGAGAAGAAAAGGAACAGTAAAAGCACAGAGGACACTGGGACCAGAGTTATTTTTTGTGGTACAGTGTCCTTTTGATTACTTCCATTCCATAAAACATGAAGAAGAATTTAAAAGACAAGAGTGTGGACATGGTGCTGGTGGAGGCCTTGAGACACAGCTGTGACTGTGGTGTTTGAAGATAATCAGTATTAGTTTGCCAGTTCCTACATTTGAGATAGTTCACATAAAATTCTTGGTTTCTAACTTCTTTTGAAAAATCAGAAGACTAGAGAACTCTGGGCTCCTAGCTTCTAGTGAAACAGCAGTTGACTCCCCAATCTCTCACCATCCCAGGCCAGGGTCAGGGACCCATCCTTCCATGAAGGGCCAAGCATTGCTTCTCTTCCAATCTTCCCTACTGGCACCTGCAGCCCCTGCCCCACTTAGATTTTTAGATTCCTCCTGCGTGCACCCAAGGGTTCTCTATGAATACCTTCGGCACCTCTTTCTACAAGGCATTGCAGTGGGCTGGTTGCCCATCTGTGACTCTAGACTGGAGCAATCTGGAGGAGCAGGGACATGTGTCATTTGTCGATCTGTAGGGGCCTAGCACAGCTTAGTATACTGACTTATGAAGGTGCCCAAGGAAGCAAACAACCTCCCAAATCTGACTTTTCTGCGCCTTTCTGAAC